CGCCACGGGTGCGGGGGCGGCCTCCTCCTCAACCTCGGCACTTGCGGCAGCCACCTCCGCCTCAGCCACGGTTTCTGGTACCGCTTCTGGTACAGCCTCTGGTACCACCTCCTCGCTCGCCACCGGCAGCTCCACCTCGCGCGACTCCACCTCAGGGGCCACCTCGGGGGCGGCCTCGGCCTCATTCACCTCCTCAGCGACGGCTGCCTCGGGCGCAGCCGCCTCCGCCACTGGGGCATCTGGCTCAGCAACCTCCGGCACGTCCTCGGCCTCCTTCGCCTCCTCCACCACAGTGGCAGCAGCCTCCTCTTCTACCGCCACTGCGGGGGCCTCTTCGACCACAGCCTCCTCGGCCTTGGGGGCCTCCACCTCCGCCACGGGTGCGGGGGCGGCCTCCTCCTCAACCTCGGCACTTGCGGCAGCCACCTCCGCCTCAGCCACGGCTTCTGGTACCGCTTCTGGTACAGCCTCTGGTACCACCTCCTCGCTCGCCACCGGCAGCTCCACCTCGCGCGACTCCACCTTATGGGCCACCTCGGGGACGGCCTCGGCCTCCTCCACCTCCTCAGCGACGGCTGCCTCGAGCGCAGCCGCCTCCGCCACTGGGGCCTCTGGCTCTGCAACCTCCGGCACGACATCGGCCTCCTTCGCCTCCTCCACCACAGGGGCAGCAGCCTCCTCAGCCACGGCCCCCTCTTCCACCGCCACTGCGGGGGCCTCTTCGACCACAGCCTCCTCCGCCTTGGGGGCCTCCACCTCCGCCACGGGTGCGGGGGCGGCCTCCTCCTCAACCTCGGCACTTGCGGCAGCCACCTCCGCCTTAGCCACTGCTTCTGGTACCGCTTCTGGTACAGCCTCTGGTACCACCTCCTCGCTAGCCACCGGCAGCTCCACCTCGCGCGACTCCACCTCAGGGGCCACCTCGGGGGCGGCCTCGGCCTCCTTCACCTCCTCAGCGACGGCTGCCTCGGGCGCAGCCGCCTCCGCCACTGGGGCCTCTGGCTCTGCAACCTCCGGCACGACCTTGGCCTCCTTCGCCTCCTCCACCACAGTGGCAGCAGCCTCCTCTTCTACCGCCACTGCGGGGGCCTCTTCGACCACAGCCTCCTCCGCCTTGGGGGCCTCCACCTCCGCCACGGGTGCGGGGGCGGCCTCCTCCTCAACCTCGGCACTTGCGGCAGCCACCTCCGCCTTAGCCACGGCTTCTGGTACCGCTTCTGGTACAGCCTCTGGTACCACCTCCTCGCTCGCCACCGGCAGCTCCTGCTCGCGCGACTCCACCTCAGGGGCCACCTCGGGGGCGGCCTCGGCCTCCTTCACCTCCTCAGCGACGGCTGCCTCGGGCGCAGCCGCCTCCGCCACTGGGGCCTCTGGCTCTGCAACCCCAGCACGACCTCGGCCTCCTTCGCCTCCTCAACCACAGTGGCAGCAGCCTCCTCTTCTACCGGCACTGCGGGGGCCTCTTCGACCACAGCCTCCTCGGCCTTGGGGGACTCCACCTCCGCCACGGGTGCGAGGGCGGCCTCCTCCTCAACTTCGGCACTTGCGGCAGCCACCTCCGCCTCAGCCACGGTTTCTGGTACCGCTTCTGGTACAGCCTCTGGTACCACCTCCTCGCTCGCCACCGGC